GCACTTGAATACTGACAACTCACAACTGGAAGTAGACACTACATAACACATTAAGCAGCAATATGAAAATAGTGTTTAATGCTACACAGTGTTGGTAGGGTGTAATAAAGCAGCAGCAGCAGTAGAATTTATACAAAAAACACATTAGATATAATGGCAATGTTTGATTCAACCGGTCTTCCTCTGAAATTCAGACATGAAGGAATACAGCTGTGTTCAAATTAGTGAACTTACAAACAGCAGCTGAGAAACCAGAGCATGACTTGGTGCTTATTCTCTCTGGCTGATTAAAGGTGGGCAGGAGGCTTTTAGAACTCTTTATTAGCTATTGTGAATTGGCCAAGAGGTGAAGGCTCTCCTCTGAATGAGCGCTGATTACTGTACCGATGCAATCAATGGACCCTGCCGACCTGGGCAGACAAGTGATTGCCAAGTACATCTATGACAAATATGCCTGAGGGAAAACAGCAGACACAGGGCTTGTGGGAATTTTATAGATGGCAGTATTGTATTCTAAATAAATAAAACCGCCTCATGTTTCCTAAATATTAAATTCCTATTTCACAAATGTTTGGAAATTGTGTAGTCATATTAAAGCTTTGCTGAACAGTGATGCCAGCCTTTAGCCTCCATCCAGTTTCCCTTGACTGTGTGTGGGTCGATAAAAACCATTTGTGTGTTTGTGTGGAGAAAAAATGCCTTGTTGATGTCAAGGGTCAGAGGAGAATGCGCAGACTGTTTCGTGATGACAAAACAACAACAGTAACTCAAATAACCACTCATTACAACCAAGGAATACAGGATACCATCTCTGAACGCACAACATGTTGAACCTTGAAGCAGATGGGCTTCAGCAGCAGAAGACCACACCGGGTGCCACTCCTGTCAGCTCAGAGCAGGAAACTGAGGCTACAATTCACACAGGCTCATCAAAGCTGGACAATAGAAGATTGGAAAACGTTGCCTGGTCTGATGATTTCAGATTTGATGATTCGATTACAGCTGCGACATTCAGATGGTAGGGTCAGAATATCATATCGTCCAGTTGAGAGGTGTGGTAGCAGGCATGACAAAAAAAGTGGGAGTACAGCAAGTACACAGACATAATCAAACAGGGTGCATTGAATATATTTTACATGGACATGGGGTGGTGATGGTGCAGTGAATAAGACACATGCCTTTGGTGTGGGTCCAATTCCCAATTCCTAATCCATTGTGTATCCACCATTGTGTCCCTGAGCAAGACACTTAACCCCTAGTTGCTCCAGAGGCGTGCGACCTCTGACATACACTCACCTAAAGGATTATTAGGAACACCATACTAATACTGTGTTTGACCCCCTTTCGCCTTCAGAACTGCCTTAATTCTACGTGGCATTGATTCAACAAGGTGCTGAAAGCATTCTTTAGAAATGTTGGCCCATATTGATGGATAGCATCTTGCAGTTGATGGAGATTTGTGGGATGCACATCCAGGGCACGAAGCTCCCGTTCCACCACATCCCAAAGATGCTCTATTGGGTTGAGATCTGGTGACTGTGGGGGCCATTTTAGTACAGTGAACTCATTGTCATGTTCAAGAAACCAATTTGAAATGATTGGAGCTTTGTGACATGGTGCATTATCCTGCTGGAAGTAGCCATCAGAGGATGGGTACATGGTGGCCATAAAGGGATGGACATGGTCAGAAACAATGCTCAGGTAGGCCGTGGCATTTAAACCATTCCCAATTGGCACTAAGGGGCCTAAAGTGTGCCAAGAAAACATCCCCCACACCATTACACCACCACCAGCAGCCTGCACAGTGGTAACAAGGCATGATGGATCCATGTTCTCATTCTGTTTACGCCAAATTCTGACTCTACCATCTGAATGTCTCAACAGAAATCGAGACTCATCAGACCAGGCAACATTTTTCCAGTCTTCAACTGTCCAATTTTGGTGAGCTCTTGCAAATTGTAGCCTCTTTTTCCTATTTGTAGTGGAGATGAGTGGTACCCGGTGTGGTCTTCTGCTGTTGTAGCCCATCCGCCTCAAGGTTGTGCGTGTTGCGGCTTCACAAATGCTTTGCTGCATACCTCGGTTGTAACGAGTGGTTATTTCAGTCAAAGTTGCTCTTCTATCAGCTTGACTCGGTCGGCCCATTCTCCTCTGACCTCTAGCATCAACAAGGCATTTTCGCCCACAGGACTGCCGCATACTGGATGTTTTTCTCTTTTCACACCATTCTTTGTAAACCCTAGAAATGGTTGTGCGTGAAAATCCCAGTAACTGAGCAGATTGTGAAATACTCAGACCGGCCCGTCTGGCACCAACAACCATGCCACGCTCAAAATTGCTTAAATCACCTTTCTTTCCCATTCTGACATTCAGTTTGGAGTTCAGGAGATTGTCTTGACCAGGACCACACCCCTAAATGCATTGAAGCAACTGCCATGTGATTGGTTGATTAGATAAAGCTAAAGGAATAAATGTAATGAATGAATGGATATGCTCTGAATGTTCTGAACTTGTAAAATAAATGGAAAATGCGCAAAGTCAAGCTAACCACCTGAGATATATATTTACCACGACTAAGATCTGGTAACATGGTAAAGTAATCTACCACTCTCAAAGCAGCGCTGCATTATGGCAGCTATTTTGCCAGACAACCCTGCATTTTTTGCCAGAGCTCTCCACATCTGCACCACCACCACTATGTCAATGCAGTAAGTGCATTTGTCAGCTCCCTCAAAGAGTCTTTTTCACCAAATCTAACTGTAGACTCGGGGTGGCTGGGGCTCAGGAGGTACAGCAGGTCGTCCACTAATCAGAAGGTCGGTGGTTTCGATCCCTGGCTCATAGAAACGCAATGCGCAAGGCTGACATGTGCAGGAACAGTCAGTGAAAATTGGTACAAGTTATCCTAACTTATTAGCTCCGAGTACTTTCCCACCTAAAATAATTCTTTGTAACAGTGAAATAATGCAACCATCTAAGAACAGTATATCAGTGGCGAATAAACACTCTGTACAGAGAAAACAGAAAGAAGCTCATCGGGTTATTGTGACTGACTACTGTTTGCCTGCCCCTAGCATGCCATTACATTATTTTTTATATATACACTGTATATATATACACACCAAGTAAGCAGTTAGCGCACCAGCTTCAGCAGTTTACCAACTAGCCATGTAAGTGATCTTCTACAGTGCATCACATTAAGACTGAAAAGGTGACTTTTCATTAGGTCTTTAAGAGTAAAAAGTAAAAGTGTCAGTGACACTGGACTCACTAACATTTGGTCTTTCGCTTCTCTCCTTTTGGTTGGTACAAACATGGACAGCATGGACCTGACAGAGTACGCAAAACATGCCTCGGTGGTTTTCGTCCGAGAAAAGGGAAACTCGCAGAGGCGGCCTGCTGACTATTATGCTCAAACCGGGTGTAATGAGGTGAGACGGTGCTTGTCCAAACTTCACCTGGGTTTATCTGCTTGTTCACGCTGCTTCCCTTTTCATCTCCATTTTGTACTAGGAGAGTGTTTTAAAGCAGTTCATCATTAGATAAAGGAAAGCTGAGTAGATTCACATTAGATTCACAAATCCCTCTTACATCAGAATTATAGACAGGGGCCAATATGGGGAGATTGCTGGTGTCTTTCATCAGGCTTTTGAAAAGTAACATTCACAGTAGCCATGTAGTCTCATTTGCCATGAGTATGTTTTCTGGTCTTTAGCATAGACTTGTGTTAAATGTAGTTTCTTGCAGTGTCCAAACAGAGTGCGGATATCGAAACACATTTCTCTTGTTTGAATCAACCAATCACATTATTTTACAAGCTGGTCCAGACAAAGCGTCATGCGATTTGGAATCAGTGCACGTTTGGAGAGATGTGCATCTTCACAGAAGTGTAATTCCAGCTTCCTGAAGCCTGAAGCCACTGCCTCCAACAATCTACTGCTGGGGCAGATCAGTCTTCTTCAATCCAAACACAGTCTTCATAAAGCCATACAGTTCTTTGCCGAGTTACCATTGGCATTGTCTGGTGTCTTTAGGTGCACTTCTTTTTTTTTAACCCAACCTTTATTTATTTATTTATTTAGGAAGCTGCAGTCGAGAGCCAAACTCTTTTTCAGGAACTCCCTGATCACACTCACACCTGGAAGCAGCTGTGGGTTATCATGTGCCTGGGTCAAGCACAGCCTTTTCTTTCCCCACTCAGATGTATAGTGCTGGGCTGGGGATATAACCTCTGAAGCTCACGAGTCTGTCTTGACAGACATAGGCCTACAGAGACTTGATAGTTTCTTCTGCTCAGACATTCAATGTGAACTGCAGTGTGTAGCTCTCTGCATCACACGCAATCAGGCATACTTGCCGGAGGTGGAGGCCAACCATGTTCTGAAGACGTCTCAAGAAAATATGCCATACAGATGAGGTGAAGACATTCTTTACAGTTTCTTATTCAAATAGCAAGTCAATTAACTTTACTTAGATGAAAGTGGCTGGAAAGCGTTTGTATGGACAATCAGATGGCACTATCCTAATTTCTAGAAAATAGACCACTTGGGAAACAAAATACATAATGCAGGTGTGTCTCTTTATGTGCCAAACACATTAAGTTAGTGTCTAAATATAGCTAAAAGGTATGTCCAAACTGGGGATTTAATGGCGAAATAATGTGTAGAGAATAATGACAAATAAATGTGTGGCAGTACGGACGAGACGGCTAGAAATGTTAAAAAGTGTTACTCACAGCCGGCTATTTATGTGTCACAGTTTATAATAAAACTAAACTTTTTAACTTTTAGTATGCCCACTTGCACAAACTTAAACACATCAGCACATCTGGTAGAAAAGATGGGAATAGGACAAGTGTTCATTTTCAATTCAATTCTATTTACATAGCGCCATATCACAACAACCGTTATCTCATAGGGCTTTTCATAGAAGAGCAGGTCTAGACCGTACTCTCTGGGCATACAGTAATTCCATTGCAGGCAGGCACATTGGAGCATTACCTCTATAGCGGTGGCCGGCAGCCTGTGCAGGGTGATCAGTGAGCTGTGTTGGCACCAGCAGGGGTCTGAAGCTCACTGCTCTGCCTTTCATCCACATGCAAGACAAAAACAGCAGTCTTTAGGTTGAAGTTACAACATACATTATTCATCCCCTTTCCACACAGATACATAAAAAAGGCAAAGCATTAAGGCTTTTAAAAATAAACACAAATTAGTCTTTTCACATAATCCCCAAAGTAGCATTTCTGAATTAGAAATAAATCATCATCTGATATTTCATTAATCAACTTCACATAATTACTGTCCCAAGAGCTCCCACAAAACATTCTGCAAGGTTTAAAACTCTTCTTAGTTAAGTCCAAACACTTCATAAAAACAATAAATGGTCCACAAACCTTTTCAAACATAACTTTTTTTAATAAAAATATTTTATTGGAAGCAGGTGCCTTGCTCTGTCTGTTAGCAAACCACTAACAGGTGAAGTGAATAACATCTTGTCAGTGGGTGGGATATATTAGGCAGCAAGTGAACATTGTGTCATCATAGTTGATGTGTTAGACGCAGGAAAAACGGTAAGGATTTGAGCGACTTTGACAAGGGCCGGATTGTGATGGCTAGACGACGAGTCAGAGCACCTCCAAAATGCTCTGGAGTGGCCAGTACTTGAACTGTGAACCGGCGACGGGTCACTGATTTATGTGGGGAACAAAGGCTGGCCCATGTCGTCCGATCCAACAGACAAGCTACTGTAGGTAACATTGCTGAAAGAAAAAAATGCTGATTCTAATAGAAAGGTGTCAGAACACGCAGTGCATACACAGTGCGGTCCATGCCTCAAGGGGTGAGGGCTGTTTTGGCGGCAAATGGAAGACCTTCATAATTTTATGGCTGATTGGTGTGTATTTACTGTATATGTATAGCTACAGTGGTGAGCAAAAAAAGGTAATGTCAAAATAGCTTCTGCATATAACATATTCAAGGGTAACACACACCTGAGTTTGGTGGAACCAAGTGAACTCTGTCTGATCTGAAGTGTCTCTGCTGGTATTGGACCAGGCCACATCTCCTTAGTGGTACTGAGACAAAAACAGAATGAGAATAAGATGCATGTATGAATATGCATATATACTATAAATACTGGTCCAAATGGTCATGACCAGCTGACCTTTGTTTAAAATATACAGCATTCTTCAGTGATTCAGTGAGACCTAACCTCCGAGTGACTGACAAGAGAAATTTTGGATTTTACAAACCTGCGTCCAGCAGGGGCCTTTGACGAGGCCACTCAGGTCTGATACTGTGGCGTCCAAAGTCTTCTCTGCAACCCTGTGGAAACACTAAACATTCAAACATTATTACCCCTCTGCCATAGTATCATCACATGCACACAGTTCAGGCACCAAATGCATCATTTCACACTTCCTAAATGGAAGATGTACTGTAGGTTTAAAAAAATAAATAAAAAATGAACGAATGTTGTGTAAGAAAGACAGTTGAAGAAGTCTTGAAAATGCTGTCTGGGTGTTACCTTCTGATAGCAGATATCCAATCCTGCGTGCCATCATAGACCCACTCAAAATGGCCTGTTTTCTGTTTGTACACTCCTTTTCGACATGGCATCTTCTTTTAAAGCTTTTTTTCCTTGTCATTGTGTTTGTGGGTTGCTTTTTCCGAAATAGAGGGCATCCTTGTCATTGCAAGAACCCAGGTTGTCAGTCGAGTGAAACCGTTATGGGTTTTTGACTTGAAGGCCGTGAATACTGTAGTTATCAACTTCATCTAACCTTTTAAAGTTTCCTGAAATCAAAGTATTCTGAGATTCACCACACAGAGTTCTCTGGGTGTAAAAGCCTCTCAAACTGTAATTAGATATGAAAACTTTCCACTGAAACCCAGGCTGGTAAATATTAAATGTTCATTCATGTTCTATGGATGAACACATGTTGTGTGACGTGCATACTTATCCAGAGGCAGAAAAGCACAGTCAATCCCCATAGAACCCCAGGTTAAAATGTCTTTACAGCAGATATAAACATGTCTATAGCTTGTTCTCTATAGTTAATATCTCCCTTCATGACAACTGACAACTTTTTCTGTAACTCACCACCTCAGCTCAACCTCTTTGCCCATTTTTGGATTAGCCAGAGTCTGGCGATAGCCGGAGCCGCCCACAACGGCTCTTCAGAAACCTAAGGGTGATGTCATGGACACTACTATGTCCATGTTTTATACAGTCTAATGGTACTTATATATGCAGATCAGTTCAGGCATAAGCGTTTCTATTGATAACCACTTGTTCAGCACGGTAAATATAGAGTCAATAAACTGCATCATGACAGAGGTTCAACAGGACTGAAACATGTTAGCACTGCATTAGTCTGTAACAGCTTTATGTGTCTGACCTTGTCCTGGTGGGGAAGGGGGATCATGCAGATCTACTCCCCAGGCCTCAGCGACGTGCTGCAGCAGCAGGTTGCTGATGTGCCGATGGGCCAGTGCATCCCAGTGGACGCCGTCGGGCATGCGGTGCTGCAGGTGGGGGCGGAAGTGGAAGTGCAGGTCGAGGACGTCCAAACCGTAGGCGTCTGCCAGCCGACTGCTGTAGAAGTTTGCTTCAATTATGTCATAGCGAAGCGTGGGACCCAAGTGGCTCACCTGTTGGGATTCAGTGATGTGATGATTCAGCCTACACTTGTTTCATGAACAATTTTTCATTTGCTGTTCAAAACAGTTGTTTGTGTTCTTTTCCACATCTACATTACTGCGCTCTAATCATGAAAGTAAACCGTTAAAGAAAAACACTTCAGCACAATAAAGAAATGACCTGGAAAGTTTAAATGACCGGCACCAGGTTGGGAGGTGGTGGATGTTATTAAGATATTGTCAGAGTCGACTCCCATCACACCAATGTATCTGCTATAATCATGACAAAACAGTGCAAACAGCTGATGACGTCAAATTATTAGGCTGAATTATCAAGAGCATCCTCTACATTCACTATCCTGCTGTATTTTATGTTGTCATATAGTAACAATAGTGCCCATTATGAAGTTTGCACATGTAATTTAAACACTGTGTTCGCACCCGCCTTCCCGCGCCCTTGCTTGTCACCGAAGAGCCAAAAATGTTTGATCGGTGAGGATTTGGAATGATTTTCCCTCATTTAAGGTTTGACTACTGTTTACTTGCTGAACTAACTCCTAATATTCACATAACAGTAGTGGATGACACCAGGTCCTCATTGGCATTTTATTTAGCAGATTTTCTGGAAATTCAGTTACAAGTTACACTAAACTTGGATGAAAACTTGGCTTATGGCTGGTGGTCTCAGCTGAAGTATTTTAAATATTTAATTATATTAGTATTAGTATAGTTTACTAAATGTGACAGTTTGACAAAGCACATGAACCAGCAGCGAATAATAACGTCAGGCCTAAATATCTTCTCTTTAGTGTACGGTTAAGCAAAGGTTTTGAGGTCAAGCCAACTGGTGAGACCAGTTTACTCTGCAGACAGCCCTCACAACTGTTTCAAAGCCATTTTTAAAGACACCATACATGTTTGGTTTGCTTAAAATGAACACTGGCGTGTCCAGCAGTATGTTCGGGCTGGTATGAAAGCTGTCAATAGAATCCTGGTGCAGACCAAACAACCGGGGCCAAGACTGCTTGAACAGGAGGGTCTGTAGATCTGTGATTTTTGCATGAATCAAAAGCTGAACGACTATTAAATCCCTCTGCGGATTATGAACGGTTTTCCTGATCAGTCAGTCAAACTACACACTGCAGTTTAAACTGTGTGTGTTGGTTGTATCCTACTCTGTGTACTTTGGCCTTTCACAACTGTAGATCATTAGACAAATGTGTGATATAGTAAAACCAGTAATACCATCTGTAATCACTTTTTTTCTCCTTTCTTTACCTATTTGTTATTGTTCATACCATACTGTAATTAACATAATGTGTACCCTGTCTACATGCCAGCTGTCATAGCAACCGGCAGCACCTGAAGCAGCAGCCTGCAGCTCCTTCAACCTTTGCTACACTTTTGTTTTTTCCAGCTTTATGTTACCTCTGACAGAAGAACAGTCATTGAAAAAGGAAGACAGACAGAGTTTTTGGATTAAAGAGCAGCAGACCACAATCCACCAGCCAGATCAACCGGACCAGGCACCACGGCGGTGCGGTGATCGCTCAGAGGAGAGGAAAGAGAGCCGGGATAAGAGTCATGGCCCAGCTTTGGCTTAAGGCTGATCCTGGTAAAGGTCCGGTCTGGACAAATTGGGACTCATGTTGGCCAAGCAACAGAAATCAAAGACTGTTGTGCCCACATCATTACAGAGACCTGCCGTCCCAGATCAAGCAACTGCCGTGGGTCAGTGTACTGAGCGCAAGACTCTGGCAAGATGAGAGGAGGCGGACTCCGTGTTGAAGCAGTCAAAATGGACTGTTTCCCAAATGTCAGACTTTTTAATGTGAAGATGAAACCAGATTATCATCTTGTTGTTGTCGTTTACATTCTCCCCAGATACAAATTTTAAAAAATGCAGAATTTATGCTTTTTGGCTTTCACCCTTTTGTTATTGTGTTAGAAATGTTTTTTGTGCATGTAACAGGTTTGCAAAGTGAAAAAGCCTAAAGTCCAGCCCAAAGGGAGTTCCCATCTCCCACAGAAATTCTGCTCTGAACTGCCTGAAAACAGCTCGTTTGTAGTCCAGCCTTTACTTCTGTAACCTATCTGCGCATAACGGCTAGTGTGGCACTCAAAAACACTGGTGTAGAAACACACTGAGCTGCAGCATACACAGTGACAACACATCCGCCTGCTGTTTTAAGACTTTTAGAATTATCATCCCAGTTAAAATGACAGTTAACATGAATTACAGATGCACCTAGCTAAGCAAGCTAACTAGCTGCACACAGAGCTGTTGGCTCCACAGTCTCTTCCAAATATGGTCACGTCCGGTGCCGCTGGTTGCAAAAACTATCGGCCAAACTCGAGGCTTCCAAGTCCACAAACCAACGGGTGACTTCACAATGATATGGTACTGCGATGTGCAACTCCCAACCAAGACCCAATAGAAGCGAGATGCTTCACTATGTAGATAAAACGGAGCGGTCAACAAACAGGCATACTTGTGGAGGTGCTGCAGCAATGACAAAACATGGCAAAACATATTCTGGTAAAACCACTAAATAAAATTATGAACCAGCTCATTGGGTTCCGCTGTAGATTTCAGAACATGACTGGTGTTTAAGGGAGAGTGGGGTACAGTTTGTCAGAAGTGACGTCATTCAGCTGCATTATTCTCTACAGTATAACTATATATATTTAATCCTAGCCAGTAATGGTGTTAGATTAGAGCTGCTGTCATTTAGTATGGGAGAAAAGATGATGGTGACTACGGATATTTAGGCCTCTAAAACAACTTATCACCACCTTCCCAAATCTCACAAAGGGGAGCACCAACATCAGTCCACAGCAGCTCACTGATGGGTCTGTGGACATTTGTGTGTATCGGCCTCATGAGTGCAGGTATCGGCCGATGCTGATCATCTCAAAATGCCAGATATCGGCCCGATAGATCTGACCGAGAAATTAATTGGTTTATCAATAATCAGAATGTTTTGCAGGCATTTGGTCATAAACCAAAATATTCAACACATTTAAATGTTGAACCGATGACAGCGCTGGTAGGAATCTTTTGAGAAGCCACTCTCCTCCTATGCTTTCTTTCTGCAGCTCTTCTAATTCCACAAAACAAATATGCAGCTCCTCATTTCCCTGTTCTCTGGATGAAGGTACTAATAAGTAAAATCAGCTGGAGGAGTGTTTGTTAGGAATGAAAAGCTGCAGGCCCCGAGCTGAGAGATCTCTCACCTCAGGCACCAAGAATCCACCCTTGATCTTTTTGCCAAGCGGCATGGCCAGACTCCACAGGATGAAACAGTCGTGGTGAACGATGGTTGTTATCTGGCCAAAGAACTTGTGGAGGTTCTCTTTGTACTGTTCAAGACACCCCATGCCGTACCTGACATTTAAAACATTTAGAAAACCAAAACATTAGTGAAAATGAAGCAGCAACATCTAGACTGGCATTACTAGAAATGTGTTATTTTATTATATCTAATTATTTTTTGTGTCCTCATCACTGCTAGCTCCACAGTGGACTTGTTGAGGAAGACGACAGCCACGGATTGTTTGGATTGAATTGTTTTCTGATGGGGGAATGTTGTTAAACTGACAGTTATATGTCAAGTTATTACTGGACTCCCTTTTTTTTAATGTCCTCCCACAAGTAATGACAGACGTAAAATAAGATGGTAAATAATATTCATGTACCTAAAATTGACTTATGACCAATGGTTTGCAGTGTGCCGTAGATCCAAGCATGCATCCAAAGACATCAGATCAGTATTGATCATCTTATAAAAGAATTATTCTATCCATCCATCAGTACATTTATCACAGACAGCAGGTTTTTAATTAAAATTTGACCACATCATAAATATTATTGACCTAGCCTGACCATCTATACATGTATAAAATGTATCCACATATTCATTTGAGTTAAATGAAACAATATATAAGCTGGAATTTATTTTTTAACACAAATACATAATAATAGAAACATTTTCTGTATGTGTCTAATACATTTAGTTATTTTCATAATATTGGGTTACTGCGACCAAAATACGTCCTGAGGGCTCAGGAACATTTCACAGGGCAGAAATAAACTTATCAGTTCTATCTGGTGGACAAACTATATAATGGAGACATTTTTTCTAAATGACTTCAAACTCATAATGTTGGCCATGCTGATTTATCGATCCCGCTCTAAATAGAACTGTTGTGATTTTGATTTTCCGTCATGTTGTGCAGCGCCTAGTCCTTCCTGTTGCAGTGAAATATAAATAATCTAACAAGAATAAAAGTTGACTGCCATGCTAGCAGCTCTTTCATGCTGTGCTTAAGCAGAGCAGTGCTTTAAGCTAATGCTAACTTCAGCTAAAGCTTCTGCTAAAATTCTCACCAAGACACCATTACCATGTTTATGGTTTAATATTTACAATGCCCACCTACACAGTACAGCTGAGGCTGATGAATGTCATTAGTTTTGCAGGTATTTGTTCATAAACCAAAGTATTGAACAAATTCAAATTTGGAACTTATGATGGTGCCAGTTGGGAAAAAAAACTCCTAAGTTATACAATTCATTCTGAGGGGATCATGACTGTACCGTAAATTATGACCTTATGATGGTGCTAGAGCAAAGGTCAGATGATCAACTCATCATGAGGGGGAAATGGTTGGTTCATGACTCATTCCTCTGCTTCTATGTGCAGATGTCTATAAAAGTCTCATCCATACGTTGAGACAAGACATGGGTAAGATAGTATTAGCATGCTAGGCTAAGAGTTCATCAGCTGTAACTGTACATCAGCAGAGCACGCAAACACTGTAAACACACCTGCCCAGAAGGTGCTGTTAACCTGTGTCTCTCTGGGGTGTGAGTAAACCAAAACAGTAAAGTTTAACAAGCAGTTTATCTTTACTTAACAGCGAAAGGCCCAAACACCTCCGAGACTCAGCTATCAGGAATCTCAGCTATCTTTTTAATCAAGACATGCCCTATAACTTTAACAACCTTCAAGGACCGCCTTTTTTCCACCTACGTGATATGGCAAAAATCAGTAACATCCTCTCAAAATGATGCAGAAAAACTAGTCCATGCATTTGTTACTTCTAGGCTGGATTACTGCAATTCCTTATCAGGCTGCTTAAATCAGACACTTCAGCTGATCCAGAATGCTGCGACACACGTTCTGACAGGAAAATAGATCATATTTCCCCTGTTTTAGCTTCTCTGCACTGCCTGTAAAATCCAGAATAGGATTTAAAATCATTCTTCTTACCTACAAAGCTCTTAATGGTCAGACACCATCTTATCTTAAAGAGCTCATAGTACCTTACTACCCCACCAGAGCACTGTACTCCCAGAATGCAGGGTTACTTGTGGTTCCTAGAGTCTCCAAAAGTAGACTAGGAGCCAGAGCGTTCAGCTATCAAGCTCCTCTCCTGTGGAACCAGGTTCCAGTTTGTGTTCAGGAGGCAGACACCATCTCCACATTTAAGAGTAGGCTTAAGACTTTCCTCTTTGATAAAGCTTATAGTTAGGGCTGGCTCAGGTGAGTCCTGAACCATCCCTTAGTTATGCTGCTATAGGCCTAGATTGCCGGGGGATTTCCCATGATGCACTGAGCTCCTCTCTCCTCTACTTTCTCTCCCTCTGTATGCAACCTCATCCCATTATTGCATGTTACTAACACAACTTCTTCCCTTTCTGGTAGTCTTGTGCTTTCTCGTCTCTCTCCTCTCTCCTCCTATCACTTCCTGCAGGTTTTCTGGCTCTGGAGTCTGGATCTGTGGCTGGGGGTCACCTGCTGCCCCCGTGTTCCTGCTCGACACCCTCTGCTGCAATTATTGTTACTAGTCCTTTTATTATCATCGATATTACTTTAATTATCAGTACCATTATTCATTTTCTGATCCACTGCTACTTTTACTGTTTCTGTATGGATATTGATATATTAAGATATTGGCTTGCACCCCCACTTCTGCCCTCTCTCTCCCCCTGCCTCTCCCTCTCACCCCTCTCTCCCTCAGAGGCCAGAAACAAGAAACACACAGAAACAGTGTAAATCCAATTTCCATGGAGCAGGAACAGGAGAGACCTGAATGAAACAATGAACCAGCACAGAGTGAGGGGAGCAAACCACTTAAATACAACAAACAGGGGAGAAGAACATGACACACAGGTGAAACCACTAGACAATCAGTGAGGAAAACAACGGAAGTAAAACAAGACAAGAATATAAGGGGTAGACAACTACAAAGTAAAAGAAGAAACAAGAAAAACAGGACCATACCAAACCAGAACCAGGATAAAACAGGTGTTAAACAATGAGCTGAAACTCACTATAAAGCTGCAGATTGAGGCAATAATTCTCTGTAGGTTCATCATTACGAGTGACTCTTTATCTTGCCATTTTATACATAAAAAAATCCATTTTGGCCACTTTAATCCATTTATTCATTATTACAAAATGTTTTAGTTCAGTTTTAGAGCTGAACTAAAAGTAAAATGTTCATCAAATATGACTCAAGTTTAGACTTTTGATCTCAGGACTACAGGCTAAGGCAGAATTGTTAAATGGTTGAACACTGTGAGCTTTAGCTAATGTCAGGCATCCATATTTCATTTGTATTTTCAATTCTGTTTTTTTTTTTTTAACACCAAGTCAGATATATTAGGGCTTTCAGAAATAAAAATTAAAACTTGGACGTTGACATGAACACCAATTAAAAGTCAGAAACTCCCACATGAACTTAGTGAGGCATTAAGTACATCACAGAGCATTAAGTACATCACAGTAGGCATGGAATGAAGTGAAAAAGCTTTCATTCATTCAGCTTTAGTCTATCATTACACATCTGCTTGACATAAAGTGCAATAATTCCTCTACCTGGGCAGAAGAGCAGGAATGTGAATTTGGTCAGGAGAACAAGAGAATGGAGCTCCTACATCATTTTTTCTCAGATGGTGGCTGCTTGAGTAACTTCCATAGGAGTACATGTTCACTGTACAGAATTAATCACCCACTCATCTCCCTCTCACTCTGACTGAGGCTGAACAAGGCTATTAATGAAGTACATACACCAAACAAATGAGTGGAGGACCAGGATGGGCGGTGGCAGACAGACGTTCCAGCGAGCGAGAAAGAAAATCTTGTTTCATCACGATAACTTATGAAACGTCCCTCTCAAGAGATCACTGTTATTTTCAATGCAGACACTGTACAAGAGCTCTTTCAGTCTGCAGAAATGGGTGTAATTTAAATGTAGGCTGAAGCAGTGAGACACGAAACAGCTCCTGGTGTTCTGACGTTCAGAGAGCACCATTTTTCCTGAGGTAATGAAGCTGCCTCTAACTATGCACACCTTGATATATGGTGTTGATCTCCTTAGGCCACACCCTCCCTCATTATACAAATACACATCACCTGGTATGCTTAAATCTAATATGCATTCAAAGTTATACAGCTTGGAGTTGTACAATATGTATAAAAATGATGATATGGTCAAAATACTGACTTGCCTAATAATAGTGTATAGAAGACAGGGTGTATAGAAGACAGGGAATGAGTAGTCTGTAGGTAGAGACATGTACAGCAGAGAGGGTGACACAAACTCCATTGAATTATTTTGACTTTTAACGGCCTTTCGCAAGTCAGGACAACACAATCACACACCAATCTAAATCAATGGCGAGGTGACGGTGGAGATGGTAGCCAACTTCAAGTTCCTGGGCCTGGCGGTGACTGAAAAACTGTCCTGGAGCACCAAGACTGCCTCAGTGATTGGGAAAGCCCAACAGCTATCTACGCTGATCTCACAGCATCATAAGAGACCCCTCACATCCAACACATCACTTGTTTGACGTCCTGAAGGTCTAACCGAGCAGTTGATTGTGTTTGATTGGTGTATGAGTGTTTTCTTTGACGATTTACTTGACTGATTAGAGAGGCTGCTGTCAGTCATTTTAAATGTTTCCATACGCATTCTACCATTTCACAGCAAATATCGTGGGACATTAAGAAGCAAAACTAAAAACTGTAGTTATAAATCTGACAACTCTGCAGAGGAAAGAGAAATAAACTTTTAGCTTCTATAATCCATGTTTAGTCGCTCTGATGGAGCTCAGCATTGATCAGGAGGACGGCTGCTTTACTCCAAACACTTCCACTGTATGAACCTGGACTGTGTGAGAGACCTTCTGGATGTGTAGAAGAACACAGAACATGAACACTAGATCCTGACCCATCCTGTCGGCGTGTCGGACATTTAAATAATCAAAGTTAACGCTGCTGTGCTTTGTGCGTAAATGCACACAGTGTCTCTCTTACTGGGGGGCGCTTCACCATGTTTCACCCACCAGCAATCCACCCGCTATTCACAGTGTTCCTTTTT